TCATGACCTGAGCCAAAGTCAGAGGCTCAACCAACTGAGCCACCCAGGTGTCCCTATATTTATATTTTTAAATGCAAGGATAAACCGAAAATAAAAGATAAATATCAACCAAAGGCAATGTATGAAACTTGTTCGGATCCTTACTCAAACTAAAAAAAAAAAATTACAAGATAAGTGAGCACTTTCTGACATTAAGGAATTGTATTATTGGTTTTTAGTTGTGCTAATGGTGTTGTGTTATTGTTTTTAATGAGTCTTTTAGAGATACTTCATGAAACGTTTCCAGATGAAGTGATCTGTAGATGTCTGGTCTTTGCCTCCAAATAATTTTGGAAATGGGGTGTGCGTGGGAATATAGATGAAACAGGATTGGTCATGGGTTCATAACTGTTCAAGCTGGTAGTGAATCCATGCAAGTTCCATACACAATCCTCTCTGTGTTTATGTAGGTTCAAAATTGTCCATAATAAAATAGTTAAGAAAGAAAAATAAAAAGAATGAGAGGGAAGAAAGGAAAATAAAAAAGAAAGGAAAGGGTAGGAAAGGAGACACTCTCCATGCAGTGTATGTCACAATTTATAGAAACAATCGTGTGTCGATGAAAGGTGACTGACCCATTCTGCGGAACCATTCTCTAGACAAAAATAAATCCCAGGCGACCCTCACAAAGTGGGTGTAAGATTCAGCTGCTTGTAGACCTGGTGTGTCATTTGCACATCTGCATATTCATGAGCCCAACGAAGAAAACCATCCTCAGTAGACCTCGGTGCTTCCTCAGCCCCAGAGGCCTCTTGACAAACCCTCTCACTCCTGAACACGGCCCAACACAGGAAGGCAACTTTGTCGGGCCACTCTCATCCCTTCAGACATTGACCTCACAGATGACACCATGACAGCTCAGGGATGGGAGCCGGATCGTTCTCCATAAAATAACTCCAGAGACATATTGGAACACAGGAAAAGAGAAGATGTTTTTTTTAAGTCTCCAAAATAAAATGAGCCCTTCAGAAGAGAAGCAGGGGTGTGGTGTCCGATGAGGAAGGCTTTCTTTATAAACACGAGGGAGGAATATGGAGCCACCTGTCTCCTGCTGGGAGACTCAAGTCTCTGGGTGTGGGAGACCTGTAGAGAGGGTGGGGCTGGGGCTGGGGCTGGAAGGTTCTTTCTGCCCCTGCATAGTTTGAGGAGCATCTTTTGGGGAGAGACAGAGCCTGAGGGTCTGTTCCAGGGCTCTCTGTTCCAACCCCTTCTCCCTGAGGAATATCTGTTGCCCCAACAACTAGGGACACCCGGCAAGCTGCTTTGACCTCTCAGTGACTCAGGGACAGGACTGCCCACCACACAAGGCGATTATAAGGGTCATGGGCAATCAATGAGTCATTTCATGGAGATGGCTCCCTGAGCTCTAATTTATCCCCATGGAGCAGACTGATCCCCTAAAGAATGAAAAGCACATTTCCTCCTTAGCTCCTCTGAGCTCTCCTCTCCCCAGGAGCTCACCCCGGGGGCCCTTGGCTTTCTCCTGTCCTCCTTCCCTCCACTCCAGGATTGCTCATGACCCCTACCAGTGCCAGTGTATACACATAGCCTCAGAGTGGCTCCCCACTGTCCTGCTTCCTCTTCTCCAAGGTTTTGGTGGCTCTTTGGGACTGATCGTGGAACTGTTGTTCTTAAGACGTATGAATGAAACAAGCCCTGTTAGGATGTTTTAGAGTGCTCATCTCTCTCTCCCTTTCAGTCAGTAACAAGCCTGCTCCTCCCTCAGCATTCCTTTGTTCCCCTCTCTCCCTCCCCCTGGCCTCTCCTCCCCTCTTCCTGGCTATTGTCAAGATCCAATCAAGGGCTCCTGGGTAGCTCAGTTGGTTAAGCCCTTCCGCTCAGATCATGATCTCACACTCCATGAGTTTGGGCCCCACGTGAGGCTCTGTGCTGGCAGCTCAGAGCCTGGAGCCTGCTTCACATTCTGGGTCTCCCTCTCTCTCTCTGCCCTCCCTTGTTCATGGTGTCTCTCTCTCTCTCTCTCTAAAAAATAAATGAACATTTTTAAAAAATTAAGAAAACAAAAAGATCCAGCCAGAGTCTCACCCCCTCCAGAAGCCCTCGCTGATTGCCAACTCCACACGACACCCCCCACCTTCTTTAAACACTGTTACTCTCTTTGCTTTACATATCCCAAGTGACAGCACTCCAGACAAAAAGAAACTCCAAAAAATACTGAATAATGCATTAAATTAACCATGACAGTGGGCCAAAGAAGGATAACCATGATGATACCTAATGATTTCATGACACTCACCAAGTACTTTTCATTTCTATTCATTAGACGGACCTTAAGGGCCCAGAAGGGGACATAAGTCAGCCCCCTTATTTCCCTTGCCTTTTCCCTCACTCATAAGGCCCCCTCTCTCTGGCTCAAATAGCAGTGTGTCTGGAGGAATACTCTGTGTCATGGCCTTTATATCTGTTGTTTCCTTTGCTTCTCACCTCCTTAAGAGGTAGGTAGTCAGAATGTCCCCATTTTACAGATATGGGAACTAAGGTACAGAAGGGATAAGCAACTTACCTAAGCTCACTCAGCTAGACAGTGACACATTCACTTTCAAACCAAGAACTCTGCCCCTAAAGCCTGCTCTCACAACCACCCCCCAACTGCATGGGACAGCACAGCCAGCAGGGGACACACTTGGGAGAGCCCTCTTTGGAGGAGACCCAGAGGGCAAGAGTATACTGACCCCCAGGGGGACAAATGCACAACAACCAGGCTGAATTCAGTGCCATGTGTCCAGCTGGCCAGCTCAGAAGAGTAAGGTCAGGTGAGCACGACATGTGCAAAGTAGCCAGAGGGAGGAGTAGCCAGATGTTGGTTCTTTAGGATGGACGGAGGACGACCAGACAGGTGAGGAGGGCATGCCTCTGCCTGGAGCATGAAGGGACCACTCTGTGCATAGCAAAGGGCCAGAACTGACTGGGCCAGGCACTGCCGTGCGCCAGGTGCTGTGCGGGGCACTTGGCATACACCATCTCAGCACTAAGGGAGACTTAGCACGGAGGGAAAAGGCTGGGATGGGTGAGAAATCCAGCTGGCTGAGCTGGATGGCTCAGAGGAGCGGGAAGAAGGATTTAGACTAGTTGTGGGTAACCAAGAAATGGCCAGTTCACTGCTTAAGCCTTTGGCTGATACTCTGTTCTGGTGAGTCGGGGTGACAAGGAAGCTCAGGGTTATGGCTGGCCCTCAGTAGATGCCACAGAGAGCCCAGTCCATGCCAGGATCCACCCAACCACCTGACTGAACCACAGGGGTTTCTTCTTGCACTTGAGGTTGGGCAGGGCTGGGACAGGCTGCCTGAGCTGGCTAGGGGAGGGAGGCAGAGCCAGGATCTATGTGAACAATGGATGGCCTGAGCATTGCAGAGCCAGGTGAGACAAGGTGGGAAACCCACCTGATAGGGGGACGGCTGTCTGGAGCAGTGTGATTCTGTACCCTCTCCCAGGCACTTGGTGATGTCTGGAGGCATCCTTGTGGGGAAAGGGGAGATCCAGTGGGTTGAAGCCAAGAATGCTGCTAAACATCCTTCCATCATAGGACAGCCCCCCCCCCCAACAGAGACTTGTGTGGCCCATAATGACAACAGTGCCATAGATGGGAAACCCTGCTGTAGAGCAAGCTGGGCAAGAGGAGCTTAAATTTCAAGGCACTCCCTGCCATGAAGCTGCCCCGACTCTGAGGAAGAGGCATTTTTTTCCTAACTCAGCAAGATGCAGTGTGAGGACCAGCATGAGCCCAGGCTGGGGGGTGGGGGAGCCTTGGCAGTGCTGGGGGAGGAAGAGAATGTACCTGCGTCACCCAGGCTTTGATTTGTGCAAAAAGCAATTTATAAGAGATATTTAGTCTTTAATGTAGGGTCAAAAAGTCAACCCACACGATTATGTCATCTTACTGGCAGAGGCAGAGGTTTTAAAGCACTATGACATACCTACCCAGTGGGAAATGAAATGTGATCAAAGATCTTCACTGTGAAACTGTTTCTAATAGCAAAGGATTGGAAACAACATAAATATCAATCGGTGTGGTGGGCAAGCCAGATAAACAATGGAATATCCCGCAAAAGAATGACATTTTCTAGGTATAGAAGTAGAAAGGTCTCCAGAATATATTAAGTGAAAAAAAGCAAAGCGAGAACACTACGGGATACTTCACTGCCATAAGATGAAAAGGGAGGGGAGGGGCGCCTGGGTGGCTTAGTCGGTTAAGCGTCCGACTTTCGCTTGGGTCATGATCTCGCCGTTCGTGGGTTCGAGCCCCGCATCGGGCTCTGTGCTGACTGCCAGCTCAGAGCCTGGAGCCTGTTTCAGAGTCTGTGATTCCCTCTCTCTCTGACCCTCCCCTGCTCATGCTGTCTCTATCTCTCTCCTAGAAATAAATAAAACATTAAAAAAAAATAAAAAAAAAAAAAGAAAAGGGAGGGGAAAAAATCAACAGTATATTGATCATTGCTTACATTTGCATAAAGCAGGAGATGTCAAACTTCACTGTGCATCGGAACCACCCAGAGGGCCTTTTTAGCCACACTTACTTCAAACAACATCAACCTTGCTTTTATTTGGGGGATAGATGCGGAAAAGTGCCCACTTTTCTTGCTCAGAATGCAACTCCCCAGTTTTTCTGACCCTGGCCGCTCACCAGCCCTACTGGCCACGAGCAAAGATCAGTGAGTGGCCCCTTTCCTAATCACTCCAGCAACCCAGAGACTGTCTTAACCCTCAAGCGGCTGCTGAATGTGAGAAGTTCAAGGCATTGGAAGGAATCCCTCAGGACCCAGAGTTAGAGCCGCTAAAGCGCCTCCCTCCTCCTCACCCCCATCTCTACCTCCTTCATCTGGAAGTGGCCTTCAGGTCACAGAATGAAGGTGGCTGCGGGCCAGGTACAAACCTGGCCCTCCAACGCCACCTGCCCCAGTCCCGCCCCGCCCCGCGAAGGGGGAGGAGCGACGGCTGCGAGGGCTCCTCCCGCGGGCTTTGTGCGCGCCTGAAATCCAGCTGTCGCCGCCCCTCAGAACCCCCTGCCCCCGGAGGGTGCACATTTCCGGGCCGCCCACCACCCGGATCGCGTACGTAGCCGCTGCGCCAGCAGAGCCCAGAGCTGCTCGTGCCCGCTCCGTGGCCGTCCCGCCCCAGTAGCCCCCGAAATGCCGGTCGACTTCACCGGGTACTGGAAGATGTTGGCAAATGAGAATTTCGAGGAGTACCTGCGCGCCCTCGGTAAGCTGCTGCTCGGCCTGCCGCTCGGGGCCGAGGGCTGGGCTCCCCAGAGCCCTCCCCAGCCGGTGGCCCGCCAGCCTCCGCCGGGGCTAGCCGCCGCCCCGTGCGCCGGGCAGCCACAGGGCTCCGGCCGCCGACTGGGAGGGTGGGGGCTGTTAGGGCTAATCGGTGGTAAACATCTAACAGTTGGCTCTAGACGTGGATAACTTCATTAGGAAAGCTAGGTTTAGTTTGCTAGTTTTTGTTTGTAAAGGGTCAGCAGAAGGCCAGAAAAACTTTGTTGCAAAAAGAAACAAGAATGCACAGAACCGGCTACTGGCTGAGACAGAGCTCAGCGAACAGGAAACCCCAAAGGTTCTGCCCCGGGGAGGAGCCGGCTCCTGAGGCCTCGGCTACCTTGGAGACGGTTATCTGAATTTTCCTGCCAATTCTCTGTCCCCTTTACCCCCTCACCTCCTGCAGATGTCAATGTGGCCTTGCGCAAAATTGCCAACTTGCTGAAGCCAGACAAAGAGATTGTGCAGGACGGCGACCATATGATCATCCGCACGCTGAGTACTTTCAGGAACTATATCATGGACTTCCAGGTTGGGAAGGAGTTTGAGGAGGATCTGACGGGCATAGATGACCGCAAGTGCATGGTGAGGATTTGCCCAAGGGGCCTGCCCAAGGGCTGGACTACTACATCTGGGAGGGAGGCCAGGGCCCTTATGTTCTTAGGGACCAAGGATCTTTATACTCCCAGGCCACAAGGTAGGCAGCACCTACTCATCAAGCATCCCCCTCTGTCCACACAGGATAGTAATGGTTATGAAAGTACAGATTGTTGAGTCTCTGTTGTGTCCAGGCACTGAGACAGCTGTTTCATACATTTGACTTCACCTAATCCCTCGCCACTACCTATGAGGGTGGTATGAGTATGACCATTTTACAGATGAGGAAACAGTCTCAGAGATGAGTAGCATGCCCAGGGTAGCTAGGAAGGGGGTGGGCTGGAATTCCAGGCAAGTCTTTTGATTCTGTTTTCCTCTGCCTGTACTGTGGCCTGGTGGAGGAAGGATGAAGGAAAGAAGCAAAGAAAGAAGAAACACAGGGAACTCTTTTGAAGTGTAAAACTTCCTGTATAAGCTAGCATGCAGTCACTCTAGGAAGCAGGGGATATCATGATCTCCTGGAAGCCTCTGACCTACCCCCACCTCATCCCCAAACTGAGATTTGGCTCCTGGCCATCCCCTTCCTCCACCCTATATTCCACTGCCTAAAGAGCTTCCTTTGAAGCTTGCAGCCAACCCCTACTCTGTAGGTCAGTGCCACGGCAGCCCAGGCTAGAGGATGCATTAGTGCAGGAGGGGAAGGGAAGTGAGCAGCCTATCCCCAAGGGTGGGAAGCTGATGACCCAGAGGCCCCAATTAGCGTTTCCACAGCAAATTCTGGAAGGTCAGCCCCAAGTCTCTATCAGCATTCTCAGGTCACTGGAAGGTCTGGGTGCTTCCGGCATCCCTTGGGTCCAGAGCTAGTATATGCTCACCCTCAGGGAGCTGTCTTACTTACTGACTGAGCCCCGCCTCTTCCTCCCCTCCCCCTCCCAACATTTACTGAGTGTCTGCTGTGTACCCTCCACCAACCACTATTTTACACCATAGCCCAATGAGTGAGGGATCCATGGCTCTGTAATATACAATGAGTGAGGCTCCAAGAAGGGAAGAGACTTGTAAGAGGTGAGATATGAACCCTAGTCCTTTGCACTTTAAAGCTCACCCTCCTGGTCTCTACGGGGCCCCTCTCTGCTGGTCGCCTTTGCAGAAGCCAGGTGCCAGAGGTTAGCTGGGACTGTGGTTGAAAGTGCCAGTGTGTGAAGATAAGGAACCTCAGTCCTGGACAACTCACCCCCACCTTGTTGATTCATCTGAAGGTCATCAGGAGTTGATGTCTGGGTCTGCTGTTTGGAATGATGACAGAAGAGGGGGTAAGCAGAGGGTGTCCTTGGAGAGGCCAATATTGGCATAGGAACATGTCAGGCTGTGCCTTAAAAAGGCCCCGCAGCCTCTTAATCCTCAAAGAGGCTCAGAGTGGGAAAGGAGACCCGTAGATAGGGTCTGCTTGGGTGAGGTGGGGGCTCTGTCTTTCAGATTACTGTCCATGATCTGCTCCCTGGCCTGCTGCATGGAACGTAAGGACACTTCTTGCCCCCGGCTCACTCTTAGGGTACTCACGGGGCACATCAGACATCTCTGTTTTGGGACCCTGCAACCTCTGGAATGTGCCCGCTTGTACTTACTTGGCTAATTGTCTTCTGTCTTGCCTTCCCTCCCTCATTCATTACTGTGTGAGATGTATATTGATCACCTGGTAATACTAGCTAGCACTCACCAAATGCTTACTATGCACTATTACACATACTATTACCATTTTATTTTAACTCAGTCTTCACAATACCGTTTTCAATCCCGTTTCACAGATAAGAAAACGGAGACAAGATTTCTTGTTGCGACGTTAGGGAAGTTAAGTAAGTGGCCCCGGGAGAATTTAAATGTGGTCTGTGGGCTCCCGAGCGGCTCCTGCCATTAACCGCTGCACTGCACCTCCCGCATTCCTCACACACTAATCACGGCGCCAGGGCAGAGACAGGGAAGTGGAGGAGGGTGTTGCAATCCCTGATGTCCAGAAACTCACAGTCTTTGTGGTGAAAACAGACATACAGACAGAACATAGTGTGATTCGTGATGACAAAGAAAAGCATCTAAAGGAGGGGAATCCAGAAGGACTTCTGGAGGAGGTGACTTCTATACAGGAGGAAAGGGGTAGCAGAAGGGAAGGTTTCAGACACAAAGGAAGGGACACGTGGCCACCTCCTTTTCTCATCTCAGCATTAGGACATCAGGACAATCCAGGTGAACAGATCAGAGAGCCCAGCAGCTGAGCAAACTAATGACATTGGACTAGGACTCATGATCACCTTTGCTGTCCCAGGACTCTGGACACCCCTTCTCCCGAGTGTATGGCACTCACCTTGCCTGCGCTGTTTGGGGGGCGGGGGGGGTGTGTGGATGGCCCCTCTGCTCCAGCCTTCCTTGACCCTTTGCATCACAGAGAAGCACTTCTTCTCTGGCCACCAACTGGATGGAGACCTACAGCCAAGGGCATAGCCAAGGGAGGGTGGAAGATAATCGTATTGTAGCGCCTGTCCCACCTGAGGCTTGCAAGGGCAGAGGAGCTGCCTGCCAAGAGGTCGCACTGGCTGAGGTCTCCAGGGCCCCCAGGGGACCTGGGCGAGGTGGTGGCCAAAGCTAACCTTTACCACTACCCCTTCTGCTCCACACCCTCTGCACACACCAGCCAGGAGCAGCGGCCCGGAGGAGGCCAGTCTGTTCTTGGCACAGGGTGGGCTTGATTCCAACATTTCCTTCCCAGCACGTTACATGGGTCTCATTGCTCACCTGGGATCATTCATCCGTTTTTTTCATTCCCTTCTTGGTCCAACAAGCACTTCAGGGCGCTTCCCCTATCTGTGCAGCCCCTGTGCTCCTGAGATGAACTGCACGCGATTCCTGCCCTCGTGGAATGGGGGAGGCCAGTCATCCTGTGATGGTGTGCTGATGGGGGCAGGGCAGCCAGAGAAAGACCCCCTCCTGGGTCTGGGAGGTCAGGGAAGATTCTCACAGGAAGGAGGCTGAACTGTGGCTTGTAGCATAGACAGGAAATAACCAGCAAGCAGAAAAGGGACAAGAGGAAGGCCAAGGCCAAGAGAACAGAAGTTGGTAAAAGCTATTTCAGATCTTCACGATCCTTCCTCTGGGCTCAGCCGTGGAGACACAGAAGCCTCCTGGAGTTGTCAGCGATGGCAGCACAGTGGGCTGAGGAACACAGTGTGGGGGGGGGGGGGGCGGTGGGAGAGGTAAGGGAGCAGTGGTCAGCGAAGTACTTGGCTGAGGCGCGCCTTGAAAGACAAGTAAGAATTAGGGCATATGTGGACAAGGGAGAAGTACATTCCAGCCAGAGGGAACCACATGCATGAAGGTCTAGGAGTCAGAAAAGGCCTGCTTGTGAGAGGGTCTGGGAAGTGAGAGGGGTGCAGTCCACAAACTCTAGAGTGCCAGATGTGGCTGGGGATTCTAGAGTGCTGAGGACCCAGTAGGGAGCCTCGGGATGACCCTAACAGGCTTCAGGGACCCCTTGCTGGGAGAGGCGTGGGCAGACTGCTGTCCTTCTCCAAAGGGTCCAGGGGCTTGCTGGCTCAGAGACCTCTGATTCTGCCTCTTTCTGCGGGAATGCTGTGTGTGTTCTAGCACAGCTGCCAGAGGGCAAAATCTGGCCTGCACATGTATTTTTGTTTGGCCTGCACAGTGTTTGAAAATTTTCAGAGCCAGTTGCCAAAGATTGTAAGATTTCATAGAAAAATCCGTATTTCTGCCTGTTCTTACCAACGAATTCAAGGTGGCTGCAAACACTGGGTGCGCATTTCTTCCTGTGTCGTGTTGACCCCTGGGACACTGTCACAGTTGTCCCTTTAGCTGGGATGTTCTTCAGATCACCATAGGTCTCACCCCACCCTGTTAACCTGAAGTCCAGGATCAAGGAGCCCTTTGTCTTTGTTTGCACTGCGGGTTCTTTAAAGCAGAGGGTCCCCAAGCGGAGGCCAGCCACAGCAGCACACAAACTTGTTCTAGAAACACAAATTCTCCAGCCACGTCGCTGGCCTACCGAATCAGTGGGAGTGGGGCCAGTGGCTTAGGGTTCCGTACGGGTGCCACATGGCTGTGTTGCGGCTGAAGTTTGAGAACTACTGCTCTGGAGGAAAGAAACATATCTGTAGACAGTGGGAAACTGTACAATCAGCTGCAGAGGGCCCCGGGCTACTGGCTGGGTTAGTCCATCTTCTGACCCCCAGGAACATTGCTTTCCTTGCCCAGAGCCCCCTGGAATGGCTCACCGGTCGCTCCCCAGGCTGAGAGGTGGAGGATGTAGATCTGTATGGCCCGGGATCACTCAGCTCACATTTCCAGTCTGTTCTATTCAGATTTTATGTGACCTGCAAGCAGCAGAGCTGTCATTTTGGAAGAAATGTGTGAAGATGGGGCTTAGCTTTTCTCCGCTGCCTCCTGCACGCCTTTAGCCATTAAAAGCAAATCTCAGGCCCAGTTTGAAGCCAATATTGTGTATTAAATCCAGCACAGGTAGCTGTGGGGGGGTTGGGGAGCTTGAAGGAGGAGGGTGCTCCTCAGCCTCAGATAGTGTTCTCTGCTCCCAGGCCAGGGAATCCCTTGGAATGAAGAATGATGGGCTTCTTTGTTCCCAACTCTCGCCAGCATGAGTAGCTTTTGTGGGAGAAGACAGTCTGGGTCAGGAATCACAGCCATGAGCCCGGTCCCGCACAGCGGTGGCAGAAGGGCCTTTTGTCATCCCACCTCGGACACTGGGGCCAGTTTTCCCTGGAGGGGGCACCTTTGTTCATTTGGGAACCTGGTGCCTCTTCCCCTGACTGAGGCTTCTCCCTCAGATCCAGCTGTGAACTCAGGATGACCCCTTCCGCGGAGCCTGCCTTCGGGGCCGGCAGCCCTCCATCCCCCTCTATTGCTTTCTTTGTTTTTATTGTAAAAGGAAAAAGAGAATTCAAATAGCGACAGTAGAGTGCAAAGGAAAG